TTCACTAAAAAGTTGGAGATCAACCCTGGTTCACACTGATGCGGTACGAATTCTGCACCACATCAGAATCACGCCCAGTTCATAAGAACCGCTATAAGTGTGTATGTTAACACCATAAAAGAGGTCCGCAAAACACGGTGCGATGTGCAGAATCGGATCACATAGGTGTGAATACCCGTGTGATCCGATTCTAGCACAGACCCAAAAAAGGGTCCTGCATTTTTTTGGTGTGGTGTGATTTAGAGCCCTTCAAAAATGTACGGCTCCGACACACCGCACACAAAATCGCATGCGATTTGCACAGGAATGCGGTACGGTTTCTGTGCGAATCACATGCTATATACCACACATATGTGAACCCGGGCTGAATCTAGGGTCTAGGCAAACACAGAGCAAATTTTGGTGATGAACCAGCCAAAATTCCCTTTGTGGGTGGCCCTGTTGTCCCCTCCTGCCGGAAACCTTTTGAATGGCAAATATAAGGAGGCAGGCGGAAAGTTGTGTTCCAAACATCCGGTTTGGCTGGCCATACACTATACAAATTTCTGTCCAGTATTCTTTAGATTTATCTTTAACTATGTAGTACAACGGCGGCCTAATTGGATACAATTGAAAGTGTTGTTTAGGTTTGACCTCCTATTATATGGTTTTTGGTAAATCTACAGCAATTTTTTTAAAGAAAATTGTATAGTGTATGGCCTGCCTTAGGCTGGCCATACACTATACAATTTTCTGACCAATTTCCGCCCAATTACCTTTATATTTACCTTCCACTATGTAGTGCAAGAGCCGGCCTAATTGGATACAATTGAAAGTGTTGTTTAGGTTTGACCTCATAGTATATGGTTTTTGGTAAATCTAAAGCAAAAATCTCAGGAAAATTGTATAATGGCCAGCCTTAGTTTTATTTATTTCAGGTACTTATATAGCGCCGTCAATTTACGCAGCACTTACATATATATTGTACATTCACATCAGTCCCTAACCCTCAAGGGGCGTACAATCTAAGGCCCCTAACCCTCAAGGGGCGTACAATCTAAGGCCCTTAACCCTCAAGGGGCGTACAATCTAAGGCCCCTAACCCTCAAGGGGCGTACAATCTAAGGCCCCTAACCCTCAAGGGGCGTACAATCTAAGGCCCCTAACCCTCAAGGGGCGTACAATCTAAGGCCCCTAACCCTCAAGGGGCGTACAATCTAAGGCCCCTAACCCTCAAGGGGCGTACAATCTAAGGTCCCTAACCCTCAAGGGGCGTACAATCTAAGGTCCCTAACCCTCAAGGGGCGTACAATCTAAGGCCCCTAACCCTCAAGGGGCGTACAATCTAAGGCCCCTAACCCTCAAGGGGCGTACAATCTAAGGCCCCTAACCCTCAAGGGGCGTACAATCTAAGGTCCCTAACCCTCAAGGGGCGTACAATCTAAGGTCCCTAACCCTCAAGGGGCGTACAATCTAAGGCCCCTAACCCTCAAGGGGCGTACAATCTAAGGCCCCTAACCCTCAAGGGGCGTACAATCTAAGGTCCCTAACCCTCAAGGGGCGTACAATCTAAGGTCCCTAACCCTCAAGGGGTGTACAATCTAAGGTCCCTAACTCACATTCATACATACACATACTAGGGACAATTTAGACAGGATCCAATTAACCTACCAGCATGTCTTTGTAGTGTGGGAGGAAACCAAAGTACCTGGAGGAAACCCACACAGGCACAGGGAGAACATGCAAACTCCAAGCAGGAGGTGTCATGGCTGGGATTTGAACCAACGACCCTAGTACTGCCAGGCTGAAGTGCTAACCATTTGGCCACTGTGGATGCTTTAGTTGTTTTGGTATACAGAGAGCCACGGGGGCCAGCTGTCAGAACACGATACCTGGCACTGCAGATTTGTCCATTCACATTGTATTACAGGTTTTCCCTCTACCTCTAGGCTGCGAAAAAAAAAAAAAAAAAAGTTTTTATTGTGATAGATCAATGTAAGGCCAGCATTAGTGATGAAACACTAGCCCCGGTTCACACCTATGCGGCCGTGCGGGTCGTGTTTTGATTGGGCACGAGAGCCCAGTCATTTGAATGGATTCCTGTGCCACGCAGGGAAAGAAGTCCCTGCACTACTTTGGAAAACGCAGCCCGAGGTTCCCAGTACAGTTGCGTTTCCCAGTGCGGGTGGCGTGCCATTAGATGTGATCCGGGTTTCTTGTCAGTGAGATCTCTGACCATGTTTGAGGAATACTCCTTTTCATCATTGTGTGCGAAAAATTGGTCCACACACCTGTTGTTGCAATTACAAAGTAATTCAGTTCTCCCGCTTGGATTCCGAATTTATTTAAAATTTCAGCTGCCAGATTTCCTGCTGCACCAGGTATGAGCGGGTCCCCGGTCATATTCACAGCTACAAACAACGCCGACACAATCATAGGGGTCCAGGCCCAGGAAAGATCGACCAGACATACGTGCACCGAGTGTTGAATTAGTCTCAGTGGTGATTAGCAACACAATACAATAATCCCTCGGTGACTCTACAACAAGACAAAGCCAAGGGCTACTCTGTGCCAACAAAACGAACAAGGGCTGGCACAGAATCCGTTCACAGAACCACACGTACATCAACAAACCGGGTCACAGCCCTCAGTACAGGCTATGGAGGAGCACTACGCTGCTGGGCACAATACTAGAAAATATCACACAGGAATAACTAAGATCTGCGCAGGAAAAGAAGAGATAAACCCCCAACTGGATGGCATTTATTGCATCTTCTTATAGTTTCCTAAAATACTTTTTACTTTTATTTATTTCAGGTACTTATATAGCAACGTCAATTTACGCCACACTTTACATATATACAGTTGCAAGAAAAAGTATGTGAACCCCTTGGGATTATGTGGAGTTTTGCATGAATTGGGCATAACATGTGCTCTGAACATCATCTAAGTCACAACAATAGAAGAACACAGTCTGCTGAACATAAATACTACACAAACAGATGTGGCCATGGTTTAATTGCACATAACATGTAAACATTCACAGTGCAGGGAGGAAAAAGTATGTGAACCTTTGGACTTAATAACTGGTTGATCCTCCTTTGGCAGCAATAACCTCAACCAAACATTTCCTGTAGTTGCAGATCAGACCCGCACAACAATCTGGAGTAATTTTGGACCACTCCTCTTCACAAAACTGTTTCAGTGTAGCAATATTCTTGGGATGTCTGGTGTGAATCGCTCTCTTAAGGTCATGCCACAGCATTTCAAACGGGTTGAGGTCAGGACTCTGACTGGGCCACTCCAGAAGGCGTATTCTGTGCTGTTGCAGCCATTGTTTTGTTGAATTACTTGTATGCTTTGGGTCATTGTCCTGTTTCATCACCCATCCTCTGCGGAGCTTCAGTTGGCCATGGCAACATCTAATGTTTGTGTAGTATTATGTTCAGCAGACTGTGTTCTTCTATTGTGGCTCAGATGACGTTCAGACACATTTTATGCCCAATTCATGCAAAACTCCACGTAATCCCAAGGGGTTCACATACTTTTTCTTGCAACTGTATATTGTACATTCACATCAGACCCTAACCCTCAAGGGGCGTACAATCTAAGGTCCCTAACCCTCAAGGGGCGTACAATCTAAGGTCCCTAACCCTCAAGGGGGTGTACAATCTAAGGTACAATCTAAGGTCCCTAACCCTCAAGGGGCCAATCTAAGGTCCCTAACCCTCAAGGGGCGTACAATCAAGGGGCGTACAATCTAAGGTAAGGGGTACAATCTAAGGTCCCTAACCCTCAAGGGGTGTACAATCTAAGGTCCCTAACCCTCAAGGGGCGTACAATCTAAGGTCCCTAACCCTCAAGGGGCGTACAATCTAAGGTCCCTCAAGGGGCGTACAATCTAAGGTCCCTAACCCTCAAGGGGCGTACAATCTAAGGTCCCTACAATACAATCTAAGGTCCCTAACCCTCAAGGGGCGTACAATCTAAGGTCCCTAACCCTCAAGGGGCGTACAATCTAAGGTCCCTAACCCTCAAGGGGTGTACAATCTAAGGTCCCTAACCCTCAAGGGGCGTACACACTAAGGTCCCTAACCCTCAAGGGGGTGTACTCAAGGGGCGTACACACTTGAACGTTTTTTTTTTGCTCCTCAGTACTGTTGATCTCCTCCAGCCTTTTAACGTGGTTGAAAGCTCACATGAAATATGAACAAAGCATATCCCTCTATAGTATGTACCTTTTTCAATCTGGAGCACCAAGCCCTGGTTCATACCAGTGTGACTTGTCACGCACTTTAACGGTTCCAAATCGGTGCGGTACCGCAAAGTCAGAGTCGATCTGAAAAATTGGTTCCTCTGCCATATTTTTCAATTTCAGGTGCAACTTTCGTAGACAATGGTGTATGAAGTCGCACAGATGTCAGAAAAGCCGCACCTGAAATTGCACCCACATGTGTCTTTGAAATCGTGCGACTTCAAGTGAAGTTGCACGATTTCAGTGTCGGATTCAGTGTGAACCAAGAGGAAGTGTCATTTCTGTCTGCTGTCTCGTTCCTCTGCTGTCTGCATTAATCACTTCTGACAAGTTTCACTGACACCACGAGGAAAAAAAAAAAAAAAAAAAAATGGTGAAAAAAAGAGAGGGACCTCTAGCACACAGCCTGTGAGTGACAGCCTCAGTTCTGTATCTGTGTGGAGGGGGATGTGTCCCTTCCCTCCAATAACTCTCCTCACTGAGTTCTGCAGTGTGTAATATCAGCTCCCCGCCATCTGCTTTCTGACAGCTCAAACAAGCTTTATAAAATTCTGGACTGTGAACTGATCTAAAGAAGAGAGGACTGCAGATGAACAGGTACAACTTACACAGAAGGATTTGTTTCATCTCTGGGTATCAGCCGAGGCCAGTCACTTCACTGGGTATGTAAGGGTTTGCAAACACACCTTGTATATATGCACATCAATGCTCTTTAGACCAGCTTCCTGATTGTGACAATAGTGGACCAGGGGCGGACTGACAACTCATGGGGCCCCCGGGCAATAGGGGGATCATGGGGCCCGTGTGTCATTGCCCAAACTCAAAAAAGCCTATGAAAAAGGTACCAGAGGCATCTCATGGGCCCCCTACTGACCCCGGGCCCTCGGGCAGTGCCAGAGTTTCCAAATGGTCAGTCCGCCCCTGTAGTGGACCATACCTGCACAAACTGTTGGCACAGCCGCTTGTGGTCTCCACCAGGAGCGCAGAGGACAACACAGGAGTGCAAGAAGGAAAAAGTAGTCGCCCCATACACATCCTTGAAACTGTTCAGAGGTCTTCTGCCCCTCCATCTCCAGCCCCAATAGTAGAAGAAACGTGTCAGTGGGAGGAAGGGAATGGTGGGTCACTGGTGGAGGAGTAAAGCTTTGTATGCAAGCGGTCAGTGGTGCAGCTTCACCATTTGTGATTGTAAACAGTGGTCTCCCCTTAGCAGCAAGATGCTTGAACCAAGTCCTTCCATAACCAGGGAGCCCAGTATCTTCACCTCTGCAGAAAACAACTTAGGAATATTCAAGTTTACTCTACCTTTACTTTGCCTTCCCTGGTTTCTCTATTCTCCCTTCATCAACATGCCAATTTAAATTTAAGAAAAAAAAAAAAACACCAGTTTATTACACACCTAACAGACCCACTTACAACATCACTGGATTTCTGTGGTTCTCTATGCAAAGCAGGCAGAAAATGGCTGGTGGGTGGGGCTGGCAGGGTGCTTTACATAGCATCCTGAAAACATCACAGCACCCTGCTTCAATATTCCTCCCAAGATCCCTCAGCCCTGAGGCAAGCATTGAGCTGGGTCTTGGACGGAGTTATGCAAAATATCAATGGATGTCAGTTGTGAAGCATAGGTATTCCTAGGCAGGCTATATTTGCCTATAGACCACCCTAGATAACACCTACATGTGATGACAAGCATCCATTATTGAAAGACCTGAAATCCATATTGGGCAGCACAGTGGCTAAATGGTTAGCAACTTCTGCCTGGCAGCACTGGGGTCGTTGGTTTGAATCCCAACCACGGCACCACCTGCCTGGAATTTGCATGTTCTCCCTGTGCGGGTTTCCTCCCACACTCCAAAGACATGCTGACAGGTTAATTGGCTCCTGTCTAAATTGGCCCTAGTATGTGTATGAATGTGAGTTAGGGGGACCTTAGATTGTACGCCCCTTGAGGGTTAGGGACCTTAGATTGTACGCCCCTTGAGGGTCAGGGACTGATGTGAATTGTGTACAATATATATGTAAAGTGCTGCGTAAACTGACGGCGCTATATAAGTACCTCAAATAAATAAATCCAAAAAAGAATTAAAAAAAAAAAGGCAGGCCAGGGAGGAAAGATATAGATGCAGGAATTCCTCCACTTAAAGGAATTGGGTTCTGACTTGCTGCAGATTCTTTTGAACGTTGTGAGACCCTTACCATGTGCAGTGCAATCAGTAATAAATTCAGTCCAGGAGAGGAGACCATGCAACTGTGCAAAAAACTGAAGGGAAGGATGGAGTTCAAAAAAAAAAAAAAAAAAAAAAAAAAAAAAAAAAAAAAAAAAAAAAAAAAAAAAAAAAGAAGAAGAAACAAAAAACGAAAAAGAAAAGAAAAGAAAAAGAAAAAAAGAAAAAGCAGACTTGCCACTGAGTAATACCTTACAAATGATAGTATCAATGTAAATAGTCAAAACAATTTCTACCTTGTAGAGAGGAAGAGTGGTAATCGCACTTCTAAGGTCAGAGAATGATGCATTAAAGATGGTACAAGATAGCTGATTGGTGGCTGCGTTTCATGAAAATAGTTGTCGCTGAATATATCAAAGTAAATGCCGACATTAACGCAGCTCTGTCTTATCATACCACAAAGAATTTATTACATGAGAAGAATGTTATAAAGTCGTTAGATTCATGTCAGAAGAGGAATGGGCGGTATGGATCATTACATTCCATTTCAGGAAAGATATTTTGGTACAGAAGAGAACTATTAGGGCTGCAGACTCCAGAGATGGTAGCAAGTGGCAGGCAGGGGCGGACTGACCATTTGGAAACTTGGGCACTGCCCGAGGGACCGGGGTCAGTAGGGGGCCCCATGAGATGCCCCTGGTACCTTTTTCATAGGCGTTTTTGAGTTTGGGCAAGGACACAGGGGCCCCATGATCCCCTATTGCCCGGGGGCCCCATGAGTTGTCAGTCCGCCCCTGGTGGCAGTTATAGCTGAACTTTGGGTCCCAAAAAAAACCTCATTCATAAAAATAATCCTCAATAGCCACAAGAGGACCGAATACACTTTGCGTGCACCAAATCCTTTTGCAAACTCAGATATCACTTTGTAATAAATCGTAGTGGTAGTAGTATTGTACTGAACATAGCCGATGCAGAGACCAGAGCTGTGGGAGGGGCCAGTCAGGCTCCACTCACTGCAGAAAGAAAATACAGGAGGGGGGCGGAGACAAGACCAATCACCCTGCAGAAGGACAGAGCAGCAGTGAGCGGTCTTTGTTACAGGCTGCACAGAGGTAACGTATCACACTGGATTACTGCACAGATCTGGAAGAAATACACAAAGCACACCAAACTGTACACATTTCTTGTATTTAGACAATACTTGCTTATCCCAGAGTTCAAAGTTAAAGCCGATCTAAACACTGAGCAAAGTGTATCAAAACAACTGCCATTTTTTTTTTTTTTTTTTTTATAAATACTGTCAACCCTTTTTCCCACCCTTTGTGTGCAGGGGCGGACTGACCATTTGGGAACTCGGGCACTGCCCGAGGGCCCAGGGTCAGTAGGGGGCCCCATGAGATGCCCCTGGTACCTTTTCATAGGCTTTTTTGGGTGTGGTTTGTGTGGGCAAGGACACAGGGGCTCCATGATCCCATTGCCCGGGGGGCCCCATGAGTTGTCAAGTCCACCCCTGGCTGTGTGTCAGTACTGCTGATTTCTCTAGGTCTCCAGCAGAGCTCAGACTGGGGGAGGGAGAAGCAACACAAGGAGCCAACCTTGTCATGCAGCACTAGAAACATGCTCATAAGAAAAAGGGAGCCGAATGACAAATGAGTCCATCAGTCTGCTGCATCTGATTTCACTGGGCTGCTACAGGCTGAGGAGGGACAAGATCTGTAAGTATTACTAAATTGTACCAAATAAACAAAATCAGGTCTCTTGTACTGCCAGACAGAACCATGTAAACCTCAGGACTGGATGGACAGACAAATTCTTTGGCATATAAATCTGCTCCCTTAGGCCCCATGCACACACGACAAAACGGCGCTTCTAGAGGCGATTTGCCTGTTTTTCAACCTCTAAACTCCCCTCCATGTACGTATGTGCCCATGCGCACACAGCGCCCCACACAAAACTGCTACAAAAAAAGGTTTAATGCATCTAAAAACGCACATTAATAGAAGGAGCATCAAGTGGTCAAGTATTCATTCATTTCAATGAGCACAACAAATAAATATTCTGGCCAATTAAATGAATAAACACGCAAGCACATGACGCATCTAAAACACATTAGCAAAACACGGTTTTGATGCAGTTTTTTTTTCCCTGGCGTTTAGAAGAGAAGGGCAAATACTCAGTGTGCGTAGGATACATGCATTTCAATGGTTTCCTAGATTTAAAGAGTAACTCTACTTTTGTGAAGGGGAAAAAAACAAAAAAACAAAAAAAACTTCCCCTCTGGGTGATCCATGTACATTGCAGGGATTTTAAAAACCTTGTTGCAGATTTCTACCTTTTGGTATTCTGAATAAATAGCCTTTTGTCTGTGTCCATGTGGAAAGTGATGGGAGTGGATTCATAATGATCAGCCACTGCACTTGCAGGGTTATAAGGGAGGAAAGTGGCAGGGTCTGCATCCCTTTAGACGTGAATTCCTATTGGGAGTAGCTCACCACAATTGGCATTTTTGTTGTAGGGGATGCCTGAAATCTGACTTGCATCTTAGTGGAGACTTCTGGGAAAATCAGTGAAGCCAATCACACAAGCGGGAAAACAATGTTTCTAGGCCGTTCTGTACAAAGTCTGTGTACAGAACACCTCCATGTAGCCATAGTGTATTGCATTGTAGAGATAACTAGAAAAGCTACAATTTCTGGGGAAATTGTGTGAAGTGTTCTTGCCTCCACCAGTAGTCTACAACTGAAGTGGGCGGAGTAACTGGGTGGAGTGGGCGGAGTAACTGGGTGGAGTGGGCGGAGTAAAGATAGTAAACATTACACTAACCAATTGATTGATCAAATTTAAAAAGTGCACATGTCAAGCTTGATAGAGTGAGAAATGCATTTCAACTTGTAATTATTTATATAGCACATTTAATTGCAATGTTGTTGCCCAAAGTGCTTCAGTTACATTTAAAACATACATTTCCAACTTGCTCACTTCACTGGCGGTTGCCATTTTCAAACGGTTGTAGTTTATAAATTATAAATCCTACGCCAAAGAGCTTTTTATTGTAAGAATCACAAGACCCAGACCTACATTTTGATGCATAGTATGTCTCTGACATATTAAAAATTAAGGCACCGTCGCAGTTTAGAAATTGCCCTTCAAATTTGAGGTGGCTAGAGTGGAGTTTCAATGAATGTCAATGGGCGGCTTGAGTTACAAACAAATGGTCATATTGTGAAAACTATCAGGACTATGGCTTAGCCGTGGACATTTTTAGCGGCAGCAGGGATAGCTGAACGTTGTGATATAAGATTTGTGTAGGTGGGCTTGAAAATGAGGGAGTGATGGCAGTTTAGAAATCATGTCCTGATTTTTCAGCTCACACTCTAGCTTTTGTCAGCTCCCACTCTAGTTTTGAACATTCCGCCATTCATTCCTATGGGACAAATTTCACCACAAAAAAGCCAATATTTTGTGAACCATTTGGCGAAACGTTCCACAAAGTAATAGCACACCAATCGGGAACAATCCGCACGTTTTGGTGTATTACGGTCTATGTAGTGTAAAAACTGTGGGAGGAGTTAGGGTGGTAAATTTGGCTATAATAATCAGAATATATATGTGAGATAAAAGGAAGTGGTCGCCATGCAGGAACACTTAATTATAGCGCTGATTGAAAAGGAAAGGTGATTTTTAATAACATTCAATTACAAGATTACGTGTGTTGCAATTGTAAATGCTCTGTGTATATATATATATATCTATTTATATATATATATATATATATTTATTTTTTTTTTTTTTTTTTGTTTGCACCCCCCCAAGAAAGTAGAGTTACCCTTTAAAATAATATCAGAGCACAGGGGAAGAGGAGCATGGAGGTTTCCATACTGTACCAGAAGCAATGAGCGGCCAACTATGAACATTGTAGTACCACTGGATGAAAGTCTAGAAATCGGTTTCAGCCAGGGGCGGACTGACCATTTGGAAACTCGGGCACTGCCCGAGGGCCCGGGGTCAGTAGGGGGCCCCATGAGATGCCCCTGGTACCTTTTTCATAGGCTTTTTTGAGTAAGGACACAGGGGGCCCCATGATCCCCTATTACCCGGGGGCCCCATGAGTTGTCAGTCCCCCCTGGTTTCAATACACTTGCTGTGCGGTCTGCAAAAGGCGTCCTGTTTTTAAATAGAAGAAAACTTAAATTTGTGCATATTAATGGTGCGTTGAATGCAACATTTTTTTTTTACTTTTGCACTGTTTCAGCATTGGAGGTGGCATTACTATGTACAGATCACATATTTCACAATGCCGTTCAAATCACTGGATACACAACACAATAACTGCATCAACAGCAGAAACAGAAAACAGAAACGCACAGCAAGCATTCACAATTACTTCTGCAGTTTAAACGCGGACATTTAATCTCTTCTTTAAAAAATACATTTTGGGTTGTTCAGAACACGTGCTGCACTGCTGCCTATGGTGTGCATTTTTGAAAATAGCATAAAGACAGTTCCTGTTTCTAAAGATGGATGCCCTGAAGTGAACCTGCGACAACCCATACAGGGGAAACAAGTCCACTTTATTTCCAATGAAGATCACACTGGCATTAAATTGTTGTTTTCTTCATGAAATTAACATTTAACTGCCAATGTCTCCATAATTTTGAAACACCAGAAACAGCTCTTTTTTCCTGTCCTCCTCAATTGACACCTCATAGACGCTCACTGTCAGCAACATCCAGTTATTGCATGTTAAGGAACAAAAAAAAAAAAAAAAAAAAAAAAAAAAAAAAGAAGGCGCAATCATCTTTCCGATTTAATTTGTAAATCCACCCTTACCCCCCCCCCCCATAAATAAATAAACTTGCATGTGGGCAGGTCTGTTGCTGCCCACATAGAACATAAGTGCAGCCTTTAACACCCCACACACCGCACCTATGCGTCGCTGGGCTGCCAATGTTTCTGCGCCGAGAGTGAGCTCATTGCGCGCACGCAGCACTGATACCGGGCTGTCGAGAGGCTCTCAGTCCTCACTCTCAGCTGGCGAGACCGGATCCTGATCATTTGGCCACTGTGACAGCCAACCACAGTGGTCACATTATTATAATACAGGATTTATATGGCGCCAACAGTTTGCTCAGCAGTTTACAATATAAACAACTACATCTAAAACAACTTGATGAGCTCTATACCCCAGCTTTCAGTGAACAGGTGAGATCGGTACCAGGGGCGGACTGATAACTCATGGGGCCCCGGGCAATAGGAGATCATGGGGCCCCTGTGTCCTCGCCCACACCCAAAAAAGCCAATGAAAGGTACCAGGGGCAGCTCATGGGGCCCCCTACTGACCCCGGGCCCTCGAGCAGTGCCCGAGTGCTCAAATGGTCAGTCCACCGGGAGACAATACAGCAACAATACAGTTCAATACAAGAGGGTTAGGAGGGCCCTGATCCTGGATCCTTCCTGCCTCCCCAAGTTTTTTAAAGGGATGCCAGGACAGATAGGAAGGGGTTAACTATTAAAAAAAAAAAAAAAAGTTGGTCAATTTAATAAAAAAAATAAAAAAAAATAAAAGCTACAAATATGCAAGGAGCAACACTTACTAGCAGCAGGTATGTAGAATGCAGCCAAACCCACAATACATATATCATCAGGCACACCGCACTTTCCCCATCTAACTAGTCTCCTCCACAGACATACTACAGCGCCAGACACAACATGGGTGTCAAACTGGTGGCCCTACAGCTGCTGCCAAACTACAAATCCCATGAGGCATTGCAAGATTGACAGTTACAAGCATGACTCCCAAAGGCAGAGGCATGATGGGGCTTGTAGTTTCTCAACAGCTGGAGGGCCGCCAGTTTGACACCCCTGTTCTACAGCAACAAACTGGTGCGGTATCAATAGGAACGAAGGGGTAACAACTGGGAGAGATAGAAAGCAACATTTGCAGCAAAGTAGATTTTAGTCACAAACCGCTATCAGCAGAGAGTTCACTGGACTCGTGTACATGGGTGCAAAACACAGTATATATAATAATAATATATGAATGGATCGGAAGGCAGCAATGGATTGTCCTCACTCACAGCAGCAGGCATTTTACAATGCAGTGAAACGCCTGTGTTTGCATGTGCATTTTGAAGCATTCCAGTGCGTTTTTTTATGCATTCCAGTTCACGTTCCCCCTCTCTTCTTCAATTTAAATAAGAACATATGCATTCTTTATGTGTTTTTCCACGTTCCAAAGCAGTTCTGTGCATGAAAAATACAGCCTGTTCTACTTTTTTTTTTTTTCTGGAACTGCAGGTGCTGATGTGAACTATGACATTAACCACCATATAATTTAATTTCTGTGCGTTTTGGATGCAGAAAAAAAACTGAAATGCAGGTAGGTGTGAACTGGCCCTTAGGCTACGTTCACACTAGCTTGGTCAGCAGGCGTCAGACAGGCGTTTGGGAAGGGTCTCAAATGCCTATGAAAATTCTGCACATGGCAGCACACATTGCTGTTAACATGGAAGCGTTAGCGTCGCGGCAAAACTGACGCCTCGTGTAGAGTCAGGAGGAGTTGAAGCCTCCCATTCAAGTCTATGGTGCTGCTTTGCAAACACCTGGCAGGCGTTTTCGGTGCGGTTGCGGAGCGTTACTACCATTTAACTTCATTATAGGAGTTTGTGGTGCGGTTTTAACGCTTGGCAAACGCCTATTAACTGCCTCAAAACCGCGCATAGGGTGTTTTGGGAGCGTTAAAAAACACTTCCCAAATGCCTGTCACACGCTATATAGGGGCATTTGGCAAGAGTTAGAAATAAAGTCAAGTGTGACAGAGTCCTCACTCCCAAGAAACAAGATGTTCTCCTAGGACAGGGGTGGGCAATGTGCGGCTCTCCAGCTGTTGCAGAACCACAAGTTCCATCATGCCTCTGCAAGTCATAGCTGTAACTGTCAGTTTGTCAGTTTTGCAATGTGTCATGGGAAATGTAGTTCCACAACAGCTGGAGAGCAGCACATTGCCCACCCCTGTCCTAGGACACTGATTGTACCTGCACTGACTGCCTGCGGATGCACAACTCTTGGATTGCACTGTGCCAGCCTGCGGTGACAGTGGTAGATCTGATTTATGATCTAGCAGGAAATTTCGGTTCACAGCGGAGAACAGCGTATTCTTCACAAGTCAAAGACAACATCTCTACCTGCAGAAAGAGGATTCTCCATTGGGAACAGTCTGTGAATAATCATTTTACATTGTTGCTGACTTTACTGTGTTTCTCCCAAATGTTACAATTCGATACTTTTGATACGGTACAAGTTTGTGACTGATGTGTACGATTGTATCAAAGTGACTAGATCTCTGGAAAGTAGTTGACACTTGGCACAGACAGCGGGATCCAAGCTGGGAAAACACAATGGGCTTCTACAATATGCAAATCAAACAATTCAGGCATGGCAAGGAATACTGAGGAATGTTCTCCTTTCTTCCCTATGGAGGGTTCAGGTTTTGGAGAATGCATGCAAGCTACAGCACACCGGGACTTAGGCCGAATTGTCAGCCGATAAAAGAAAAATCGGTCGTTGCTGCCATGGATGCTGCCACCAATGCTTATGAAAAAAATGGCCTTTTTTCGTGGATTTTCCAGCATGACCAATAAAAAATAAATAAATAAATAAATAAATAAAAAAAAAAAAAAAAGGGAGAAGATCCACGAAAAACAGCCGACGGCATTGCCCCCACTAACGGCGTGAATATCGGCTGATAAACGACCCGTCTATGGCCTCCATTATGTACCGATCAGGGGCGGACTGACCATTTGAGCACTGCTCGAGGGCCCGGGGTCAGTAGGGGGCCCCATGAGCTGCCCCTGGTACCTTTCATTGGCTTTTTCATAGGGCTTTTTTTTGGTGTGGGCGAGGACACAGGGCCCCATGATCTCCTATTGCCCCGGGGCCCCATGAGTTATCAGTCCGCCCCTGGTACCGATCTCACCTGTTCCACTGAAAGCTGGGGTATAGAGCTCATCAAGTTGTTTTAGATGTAGTTGTTTATATTGTAAAGCGCTGAGCAAACTGTTGGCGCCATATAAATCCTGTATAATAATAATAATAAATAAATCCTGTATAATAATAATAATAAATAAATCCTGTATAATAATAATATATAAATCCTGTATAATAATAATATATAAATCCTGTATAATAATAATAAATAAATCCTGTATAATAATAATAATAAATAAATCCTGTATAATAATAATATATTAAATCCTGTATAATAATAAATATATAAATCCTGTATAATAATAATAATATATAAATCCTGTATAATAATATATAAATCCTGTATAATAATAATATATAAATCCTGTATAATAATAATAATATATAAATCCTGTTATAAGAATAATATATAAATCCTGTATAATAATAATAATATATAAATCCTGTATAATAATAATAATATATAAATCCTGTATAATAATAATAGTTGTAGAGTGCAAAAGTGTGAATGAGCAATGAAAGTTATTCAGAACTGTAAGCTGTTCCATAACACATGGGGCAGCACAGTGG